CTGCTTCCCCCTCGCGAGTGAAAACTTGAGCTCTGTGTGACCTTGTTCCTGAGTGAGTTTCTGTTTTATCCAGCAGTATCAGGGGTAAAACTCTGACACTGACCTAACTAAACAAGATGAAGGGGAAACTTAAATAGTGGCTGATTAGCCCACAAAAACACAAAAAGGGGTAAAAACACACAAAGCCTAACTGAAACTAACATAACAAACTAATTCTAAACCAAAACCAGTTATTCACTGTCCTTTAAATTAATTCCTATATTTAAAGACAGACAAATGTGAATCCAGTGTTATGTATAAGCCTCTACACTGATATTGCCACTGTGTGGCTGAAACTTCAGCCATCACACTGACAAAGAATATCCATGCCTCATCCCCATTAGAAAATTGAATGGACCACTTAAGAATATTGAGGAGGAGAGTAAAAACAACCATGGTCCAGAAGAGCTTGGTCGTTTTTACTCTCCTCCTCAATATTGAACCCTTAACAGACTCCATTAATTTTCAGTACACTCATAATGTCATGGTACAGAACCTTAATCATTGCTTTAAAACCTGGGCTGAAAGCAAAAAGCACTCAAAGTTTACCACAAATATTGGTGTTTAACCCGGTCAAAAGTTTTTTGTTGGTCTATAAAAATGAGACCAATATCTATGTCCAAAGAGCTAGAGATTTTCAAAATATCTTGAATTAAAGTGATATTATCACTTATTAGTCTGCTTGTTTGGTCTCCATGAATGACAGAAGCCATCATATCCCAAAGTTTAGTCCCCAAGGCTTTGGAAAGAATCTCACAGTCTGAACACAGAAAAGAGACTGGTCGCCAGTTTTTCAAATTGCATAGAGCTCCCTTCTTTGGTAGCAGAGTAATGACCACTCTTCTACAGCTCAGAGGCAGAAAGCCTCTATGCAGACTATTCGTGATAACCTCCAGCAAATCCTCATCCATCACCGACCAAAAAGATCTGTAAAATTCGACAGGAAGACCATCTATGCCAGTGTGATGCCTGTTGTACTCCTTAGCATCTAACATCCTCTTCAACTTTTCTACCTTAGTGAACATAATGATGTCGGGCCAGGTAGGATCCAGAAGAGAAGGAAGTATTAGCACTGTGGTGCAAAGCTGAGCTGAGCTGTTCTGTAACCACTCTGAAGGGGGATAGATCTATAGTCAAGAAGAGCCAGATAGGAATCCCTGGCTTTTTTAACAGTTTGAACAGCCAGTACCAATACTCTTTGGAAACCTTGGACTGCTGGTGAGATGCTTCAATCTATATGATCCATGAC